TTGTTGTTGTGCGTGACAAATGAGTACTGACACATAAAGTGTATTGCGTAATTTTGATTTTTGCTGGGGTAGGTAGTAATTGTGTAACGTCACTGACCATGATTGTGTCATACAGGAAACAACTTGTTAATTTCTTATTAATCATTTTAGGGAATTCCTGGTGGACGTGGATCACATGGGGTGCCTGGTCCACCTGGTTTAAAGGTAATTGACTTCTTAATAATCAAGTGCTGTTTATTACAGTATTCCAAATTAATTTAATGTCATATCGTTATCATTTAGGGTGTCAAAGGTTACACTGGAGTAATCGGAAAAAAAGGTGTACAAGGTCCTAGAGGCCGTACTGGTTCCCAGGGCCCTGTGGGAGACCGTGGACGACCCGGAGCACCTGTAAGTATTGATCTTCGATTACATTAATTAGTTTCTTTTAAAAAAACTAATCAAATGTAATGTGCCGTTTACTTTTAGGGCACCAATGGTGAAGATGGTGTTGATGGAGCGGCTGGACCTATCGGTGTTACTGTAAGATATTCCTCTTTATCACTCTTAGTCACTATTATTTGCAATATGGCTATTTAGTGCTACTTTCTATACATGAAGAGTTTAATTACTTACTTTTTACTTGGTTGAAATGTAACCTTAACTTTTACAGGGAGAAACTGGTGCAAAAGGATCTCGTGGAATTCAAGGTGTCAAGGGAAACAAGGTAACAAACATTACTTGATTAAGAATTCAATGTTCTCTAACATGTTAACAAGTATTTAGTTGGTTAACTGTTAAGCTACTGCATATCTTGGTGTATTCCAGGGAGAGAAGGGTTTCGTTGGCTCACCTGGACAAGTTGGATTCACTGGCAAACGCGTAAGTTGATTAAACTCGTGTTATTCGTCCATCATTTTGCGTGGAACATTTTCCTAGGTATCTACATCCTTAAAAAGTCTATCAACAAAATATTTTGAATCCTCGCTTTTCCTCACCACATGAACTAAACCTGTGAAACAGCTCAAATATTCCATTCTCTTCTTTTGCTCTCAAGGGACCTGAGGGAGACCCAGGAACGCCTGGTCCTGTTGGAAGTGCAGGAGATAAGGTACAAACATATCGAACTACTCTTCCCTCCATGAATATGATCATCACATAAATCATGCTGTGGTACTTCTTAATATATCTCAGGGTCAAGATGGACCTGCTGGTGTTACTGGTCCCCATGGATACGCTGGGGCACCTGGCCCTATTGGACTAAAGGGTGTGACTGGGCGACCTGTGAGTACATTAATGTTTACCTATGATTGTATACTTTGTGGATATTGCGTGGGTCATTTGTCTTTACAGATCATTGGGTAATTAATTATATTATACCTAGTTTTCCAAGATCAACTCAAATTAATTTGATGTGGTTTTTTTCTTTTCTGTTTTGACAGGGACCTGATGGATTCCCCGTAAGTACAAATAACTAAACTCTATTTTTTTAAATATCTGTGCTGTTTGTCCAAATGTACGGCTTGATAAAAACAAAAATCTTTAACCAGTGAAGTGGAATGAGATTAGATTAGTAAAACTATACAGATGCGGAGAAAACAGCTCTGCGTTACTGAAGTGACTAAGGCTCTTTAGTTATCAATTGACACGGTTTTCTTTGTTATTCATAAGGCTTTATTTTT